TTGCCGCTGAGCTGCTCGCCGCCTTCTGCATGAGTGGGAGGAGCCCAATGGCATACATGGGCATTGCCATCGGGTCTCCCTGGGTGGTGCCCTCCTCAGAAAGAAGACACTCCCCATCGACGAACAGCCGTGCGGGATGCCGGTAGGTGTTGGTGACGGCACCCGCGATGGCCGGACAGAGGTGACGGATGTTGTGCAAGCACACACTGCGGTTCAGCCTGTTGAACGCATTGCTCGCGTCTGCTAGGAGGACTGCTTCGGTCTCTTCCTCATTCCATAGGTGCCGCATTGCGTGGATTGCTGCTTCCACACCACATTCTTGGCCGCCACACAGCTGAAGCGACCCGACCGCCTGTTGGATCTGCTCTCCGATTATGGTGAGGATGGCTTTGCCTACTATCCTTCTGAGGACTTCACATATGCCGATTGGGCGCACCCCGGGCTTCTTATCCAGAGGCACCAAGCGACATGCCGTGAATGACTCGAGGGAAATTGGGTTGATGATTCCGGTGGCGATGCGCTTGGCGCAGGCGGCGATGCTATCACATAGCTGGTCGGAGGACGCTCCGAATGAGGTGCACAAGCGTTTCCAGCTGGTAGAGTCCATGCCGGAAGGGCCTGCTGCTCCATTTGTCCTTAGCACCGATTGCCGAATGATGTCTCTGTTCAGAGCTTCGAACAGCACCGGGTGCGGCAGTTCAGGGCAGGGGCCGATGATGAGGGCGTCTGCATGCATGGGTTCCGCCGGCGGGTGCTTCTCTTTCAGCGTTTGCCTCACGGTTTTACCATCAGCGGAGGAGTCCAGATTTAGCAGCCCACCCGAGGGCGTTGCTGTCAGGGACTGGAGAGCTGCGCCCAGTTTACCATTTGTGATGAGGGTAGCGAATCGTCGCGCGTCATCTGGACTTTGGGCCCGTTTCCCGCCACGTTCCTTGGTTAGTTGGCGCTGGATGGTACGTGCTTCCCGTACGAGTTCATCGATGTTTCCCTCGTTCCATAGCTGCATTCGTCGGTTCAGACATTCCACATGCACCTTACGTGTCAAGCAGTTGACGGGTTGTTGCAGTAGAAGACTGTGGCAGACCATAAGTGCCTTCAAGGCTATGCCTTCTCCCGCCGCGTTTGTTCCAAACGTGTTGAGGTAACGAGCGCTCAAGTCCACCACTGACCTGCCATGTGCACCCGATGGGATGGCGAACAGGTTAGGCCGGAAGTGTACGATTTCCTCGTACGCTGCAGCTATGACCTGTCCTGTGTCCTCGGGGCTCAGTTCACCGAGTCTGAGTCGTTGGTCAGCTGGCGGGATTGGCAGTGTTGCAGCCCCCTGCCCACTAGCTGTACCGTGCGCGTTTGTGAGTTCCGGTTCGCTGTTGCTATTGGGCTGCGAGGAGCTCAGGCTCGCTAGGAGGGCGACCTCTTGTGCCGTTGGTTGTCGGTCTTGCCGTGGAGCATTGGCTTCACGTGGCAGTGCATCTTCTCCACAGGAGCCGGTCTCCGAGGGTGTTGGTGTAGAGGCATCGAGAAGGTCCCATGCTACCTTTTGCGAATTGGAAATCGGGTCGGCGAGGTGGCGTTGTTCCAGGGTGTCCCACGCCAGCTGCTGCGAGGCCGACTCGTGGGTAGTGCCATCTAGTCCTTGGCCCTGACCGTCGACGCAGAGCTCGGCGACGTGGAGCTGTTCCAGTACGTCCCACGCCAACTGCTGCGAGTCCGACACCTGCTTGGTGCTATCTAATCCTTGGCCCTGACCGTCGGTGTGGAGCTCGTCCAGAGGCGGAGTGTCCCGAGCCGACTGTTGCGACACGTGGGCTTCGCTCTGGGTTGTCGGTCTCCGCGTGGGGGACGCGGCGGCTGGAATGTATCGTATGGTTCGAAAGCCTACGGGACTGGCCTTCGCCGCGACGGTTTGCAAATTTCGGCATCTTGCCCTGTTCCCGGGCCCGCAATCCTCGCATAGCTTGCCAGCTTCTCGGCAACAGCAGCCTTTTCCGCACTTGGAATTGCCAGTGCACTGGCAACACTGGCCGTCGGGGACGCCAGTCGCGGAGTTGCCCTTTGCGGGCATCACTGTTGAGAGAGCTACCAAGTCTACTTGTGCAAAGTTCACGAAACTCGGGGGAAACTTGCAGGAGCACAAAATTCAAACTCTACGTCATGGGACCTAAAACCCTTGTATCGACCACTTAGGCATTGTAATCTTTCGACTTTGGAGGGACTTAGAATTTTTCTCTCCACTTCAAAAAGAAAATTTGAAAGAAAGAAGACAAAGGAAGAGAACAAGCAGGATTCGAACCCACAACACTATGAATCTCAAGCAACCCCTTATACCACCCAGCCACTGTGCTGCAGATGCTGAACTCTGTTGTTCTTACAGTCTTGTACCCAAAATAGGCAACATCCTATGTACACTATAGTACAAATGCTATACTATAAAAGGTTAAAATAGCTCCTAAAGGTTCAAATTTTGGGGTTATGGCAAAGGAATCGTGAGAAATAGGATATTGATCTCGACTTCGGTCTATATGGGAAATATAGGCCTCGTAAAAGACCCCGGCAGACCTCGGTCTTTTAGGGCCCGGTCACACATGCACTCGAAAGTAGCGTATACGCTGAAGCGAGGTCGCAGGAGCGAAAAATGGCATGGCAACGGCGAAAAGCGGAACTTCCGCTTCAGCGGAAACTCCAATCCGCTTCCTCCAAATTTTTCGAAGCGAGACTGTCGCTTCTGCGGATTCGCTTCAGCGGAAAACACCACGGTCTGCTGGATATGGACTTGCTACGAGAAATGTGTATGCGTATGATGTCCATGCAACAAAAATGCGTGCAAGATAGTCATTGACCTCGTCTATTCTCCGTACCGTATGCACCACAGTCTCATTTTCCGCCAAAGTAGGAGTTGTGCCCTGTTTGTATGTGTGACCATACACACATGGTTTCGCTGGAGCGACACCAGGCTCGCTGCCGCCGAACCTCGTCGCCGAAGCGAATCCCAGTGCATGTGTGACCGGGCCCTAAGGGCCCGGTCACACATGCACTCGAAAGTAGCGTATACGCTGAAGCGAGGTCGCAGGAGCGAAAAATGGCATGGCAACGGCGAAAAGCGGAACTTCCGCTTCAGCGGAAACTCCAATCCGCTTCCGCCAAAATTTTCGAAGCGAGACTGTCGCTTCTGCGGATTCGCTTCAGCGGAAAACACCACGGTCTGCTGTATATGGACTTGCTACGAGAAATTTGTATGCGTATGATGTCCATGCAACAAAAATGCGTGCAAGATGGTCATTGATCTCGTCTATTCTCCGTACCGTATGCACCACAGTCCACTTTATTCTCATTTTCCGCCAAAGTAGGAGTTGTGCCCTGTTTGCATGTGTGACCATACACACGTGGTTTCGCTGGAGCGACACCAGGCTCGCTGCCGCCGAACCTTCTCGCCGAAGCGAAACCCCAATGCATGTGTGACCGGGCCCTTACTCGGCCTATATTTCCCATATAGACCTCGTCTTGGTCAATATCCTATACATACATGTCAAACAAGTAACGTAGTTGCGTGATGTCAGCAACGTACATGTATGAGCTTGAGTGAAAGTAGTACATGTATATGTTTTGCAGGGTCGCGGGCAACTGGCCATGACCACTCGTGCGCGCCTGCGTCACGGCCCGTGGGCATTTCCCAAATCGGCCGTTCGAAACATTGGCCGAAAATAGTGGTTTTGGAGAAATCATCGATCTTTTAGCCGAATACGCAATTTTCGCACTGAATTCGCCGAAAATTGATGTTTTAGTGCCTCAATAGGATGCAAATACAACTTCTGTAGCCATTATCTGCGAAAGGTGGCTGCGAATTTAGAGCCGAATTTCCACCTTTTACAGAAATTTTCAGCCGATTCTGGCGATTTTTTCAGCCGATCGAAAAGCCGAATAGGCCAAAATAAATGGCCGATTTGGGAAAGGCCTATTGGCAAGGTGTTCGTCTGAGGGTCATATCAATGTACATGTATCAATGTAACATCTGCATGATTCAGCTCGGGCTATATATGCGCTACGGAAGGCCAGGATCCTAGGAGCAATTCGCATGCCTGGCTTTTGTAAAAAAATAATAATAATAACCGCACCATGATCGGAAAAATTTTAGGGGGTTCGTTCGAACCCCTCGAACCCCCCCCCCCCTGCATCCGCCCCTGCACTGTATCTATAAATTCTCCATCCCACACTTCTGACACGGAATGACAAGTACACTACCCAGGCCGTACCTCTTCTCTTCAACACAATCAATGAGCGCCAGAGGTTTACCACATCCAGGATTCTGGCACGCAGACAATCCCACAGCCAAATACCCGAGATGAACGATTCGTCGACCGTGAAGAGGGGCACTGAACGACCTCTTCGCGGGAGTTGAATCCAGTGGCGTTGGTGGTGGAGATCGCCCTTTCCATTTTTCAGGAGCTCGATCGATCGTTTGAGCTTGCGAAGCGTCCCCCTCCTCGGCTTCTTGAATCGTCCAGTACGCAGAATGCAAGGTTGCGTCGTGGGTGACGGATTACTCTCCCGCATCTTCATCTCCATGACACATCAGCAGGAGAACCAAGCTATCCAAAAACCGCCAATGTCAAAACAAATCCGCCAGTAGTAGTGGCTGAGCTTCTTCCTCAAATCTTGTCTCGACCCGAGCACGCGCTGCGAGGTCATGGGCAAACTACTTACTCGATTGTGCATGATCGCGTCCCATTTTTCCACTCCGAAAGGCATTATTTTTCAGAAAAAAATTCGGAAATCCAAAATGGCGCTAACCGTCGCGAACCCCCGTAATAGCAAACCCTTTAGAGATCTGCCCTGTAATGTATTCTTTCTTGGCACTTCTCAAATCTCACTTGATTGGAATTTCCCATTTGCTTGGAGCTCCGTTCACAAGGCCATAGCAGGAAATTCCTCTTACTAAAAGCTAAACTAAATCTTGAAGCTCAAATCAATTGTCACCATCAGAAACACACAGGATATCTTACCGCATTTGCCCATCACAGTCACCGTGCCAAAAATGTCGCAAGTCGCGTTAGGTGTTTGTGTGGCTGTATAGCCATCGTTACAAACTCCCCTCAGTTCATTGTTTCCAAATGCGGAATTGAATGTATCTCCTTTAAAAATTCCGTTTGGTAAACTTGGTTTTTGACATATCTTGGCTACCAGCAACACAGTTCAGAGGCAACATATAGAAAATATGTTGGTGGGTTGTTTGGTTGGTTTATATGCTACTTCCCAGTACAATTCAAAACCTGCGCTCAGAACTACAGGTCCACTCTCCATATAACGTATTCTCTGAGACCACGCAAAAATTATGTTATATCGAGAGTTATGTTATGTAGAAAACCATGTGTAAAATACAATATGTACCGCAAAATGAAGGGTTTTACAAGGCGGGTTCAACCGTGCAAACATATACACACTGTACCACCATCGACATCAGATACCATCAATGCCGCAGAATACATGCACAATAGGACTAAACTGGCTAGCTACGGCTACAACTTGATTGTACCGCGCACTTGAATTTATGTTGTATCGAGAGTGCGCCCTTTGGAGACCGCGCCGTAGCGTGTGTTATGTCGAGGTTTACGTTATGTCTGACTAAACTGGCCTAAATTGGCTAGCTACATCTACCACTTGATCGTACCGTGCACGCGAAATTATGTTGTATCGAGAGTGCGCACGTTGGGGACCGCGCCGCAGCGTGTGTTATGTCGAGGTTTATGTTATGTAGGATTATGTTGTGTAGAACAAAATTTGTATGGGAGTGATGCTGTTTCGGTGCGGGATTCGATTTTTTTTACGTACTAGCGAGGTTTATGTACAAGTGAGAGTTGTTATATCGAGAGCAGACCTGTACTTGAAAGTACAGCCACTTTTGCAAACAATGGGGTTGATGGGAGAAAGGTGTGCGATACACAACATCCCTGTGTCTTAGTACGGAGGCTTTACCCAACTACAGCAGGTAGCTATAGTGAGGTGGTCCAAGACCATGATTGAGAAATAGAGGGTACCAGGTTCAAGTCCTGCTTGGAAGCAGAAGGGCTTTTTCCAGCCGTGCTGCGACCCAGACTTAATAGGGCTTGAAAGTGCTACGTCACAGCATAGGAACAATTTCAAAAATTCAAAAACTGGATCCACTTGGATCCAGTTTTGTATGGAGCCAAGCACATTTCAAGCGGTCTTACCCACAGCATGGTGATGTAGCTAGTGAAACTGACTGATTTGGCTAGTGCGGGCGGGGTTACAACTGGTGGCGAAATAAAAGTCACACCTGCATGCGACATGAGTGGGTTGCTATGCACCCATATACTTAGGCAATAGCAAAGTCACACCTTAGTGGATCCAAAAATAGAGATCTGATGTCAACTTACTACTCCCTGGCCGTTTTGACGTCATCAATTTCAAGCCCTATTGGGAACTTGTTGCCTGGAATGAGGGAAGCAGTGATGCAGTGCATTGGATTTTCGTCATGGAAAGTTGCATGATTCAGGCAAACGGTTCACTTTGCTCAGGAACACTGACCTCGTATTAATATTGCTGCCTCGCTAAAAACTGACGGAGACGTTGTGAAGGTTTATCAACTGATCAAGGAAATGTTTTCAAAACTGAATAACGAAAAAGCACCACTTTATCTCCATGGATATCTGTGTATTTCCAAGTGAAACGTGCCATGCATGTGTAATGCACATTTTTTCCCCTTGCTCGACTGGGCAAACCTTGTTCACACCTAAACACCTAATCACTCTAAAACCGTATTTGCTAATCTATCATACCCCAGATGTATTTGTTTTACAATTTTACATTGAGTGAAATTACGAGACAAGCGGGATAGTTTCTCAACATCAAATGCTAGATCAAGATATAGCAGCATTGTGCACAGCACAGCCCTGAATGGAGTGAATGCCCCATCGGCCTCTTGGTGTGTCAAGTGGCTGTTTTGCGGCGGAAGATGCTGACAGAAGGCGCAAGCAACATCAATGTACGTGTTAAACAGGTATGGCGGCCTGGTGTGGCTGTGTGCAACGAGCTGGCAGGACAGTGATTGCCTCAAGGGCATTTGGGTCTGCTGCTTAGGGGCTGCTGCGTTGGCTTCTTTGTTCTTTCCCTGTCACGTCACTGTGGGACAAGCAGCGGAAGTATATTTTGTTTTTTGTGGCACATGCAATAACTAAGTGTGCGTTCTTAAAACCTCTCGGAAAAGCTGGAGACTTCTACGAAAAGTTCGCTGTTCTTATATTCTCTCCGACTTTTAGGAGGCTCTCCAAAGCTCTACAAGCTCTCCAAACTTCAGAGGTGGTTGAAACTTGGAGATTCCTGCGGTTTGGGATCAGTGTATGCGAACTACGGCTAAAAGCCACGCGTTCATCATGAGTGTACACATTTCCCTTTTCGCATACGCACATACATTCATCACTCAAGATCGCGGCCCCTTTGGCGCTTCACTTTGCTTGACATGTGCAAAATATCTCCGAATTCTTCGAGACCCATTCTTGAGTAATCCCAGTTTCTTCGACTTCTCTTTTCTTCTTCTTCTAGAAGCTAGAGAATATAAGAACGCACCCTAACTTTTCTGGTGTTAGACTGACGGCTGTTTTTTGCCCCCCCCCCTCTTTCACACGTGCTACCTGTTCCTGTCCCAGCCATGAGCGCGTGTCGTTATCACCTGACCTTTTTATCACTTTTTATCACTTTTGTCACTAGGGTATGCCACGTTTCTTTGCCGAATGAGCGCAATTGCGTAGCCGTGTAAAGATCAGTCTACTCCTATTATGCTTTCATTCAACATCATGCCTCCACTCATGAGCTCAGGAGGAGCGAAACAGCTGTCTAGAGGGTCATTGTTAATATCAATTTATACACCGGAATTGTCCTCACTGTGGTGATGGTGATATGAGTGCAGAGTTTGGATCGGCCAAGAGCGCAATGTGGTGGTGTGGTGTATCGAATTCCATAATGGCCGGGTCGTCGCTACTTCTTCTCAGTTTACATACTGGTGTTTTATGTACTCAAAGGGTGACACCATGTAATGAGAACCGTAAATAAACAATGGAGACAACAGCAGAATTTTCGCCCGATCATGCGATGACAGTTCTGTATGGTGTTGAGTAAGTTGACGGAGAAAATGCCCCAGGGGCGTCTTGCGTACTTGCAGTACTTTGTTGGAGCGCAAAAGTCTGAACTGTCTCCCCGTTTGTTTCAGTATGCTACATTGCTGTATCTCAGAGTGCTAGAATCTGTTGCGTAAGTATCGATGATGCCCGCAGTACACTAATGGCATGTAGGAGTGTCATTTTGCACCATGTGTAAGCACTTAGCCCCTCTTAGCCCGTCTTGTATCTCCAAGCGCGGGATCACAATTCTTCGCTTCATTCTATCTATAAATATGTGAGTTCAAATTAATGCTAGCCATTATTTATTCTCAACCTCCACTGATCAGACCTTAGTGATCCAAACAACGCTGCCTGGAGGTAATTATATCTGTCAGCATATACAACTTGGAGTCATGTTGCTGATGTCATTGTCGGCCAGAGAGCGCATATGGAGGAGGTGGAATTGCTTCATCAATGTTCATACTAGCGTTTAAACTGATTATACACTCCTCAGTGCGAAGTCGTGTTTGAATGGACGGTCATACCGAAAGCCGATTTTCAACGCTGTTTCGACCACTAAGGTCTCATCAGTGAATATGATTTAGCTCTATCCACACCGAGGCGGATGGTTAGAAATGGAATGGCGATGTGGTCTATTTGAAGCACGTCCGATTGTAATTTGTATTTTTTCACAAACAATGAAATTAACACACATGCACCCAAATCAGTCAGTTGCTGGGAACAAGCTCACGGGATACTGTTGTAACACTGATTTTGCAATCTGAAAACCACACAAGAAATCTTACCGCATGTGGCTAGTGGGGTAGTAGTGGAAGGTGCTGTGATGCAAGTCACCTTCGGGTTACCGTGAACCTCATATCCCTGTTTACATGTCAAAGTCAGCGTATTCAGAAATTCTTGTGGGGAGAATACACCGTTGCTGTAAGACCCATAAGCTGGATCTGTAGGCCGTCGACAAACTAACAACAGAGATCAAAGGGCAAAAAGAGGCTTGATGAGTGTTTCTAGTATTTCATGTTTGTTCTGTTTATGTTGGGTCGGGTATTGTTTGTTCTGGTTATGTTGGGTCGGGTATTGGTGCTTCCATGTACAGATAAGAATACTGCGTGATAGTGTGAATGTATCATGCCAAAAGGTACTTTTCTTGGCATCATGTCAAAAACTCGCCAGGAGTAAGAAGCAAGTTTTGAAGCTCTCAGTGTCGTGACTACTCCCCCCCCCCCCTCGAGGCATATATCAATTGATATTCTGACTAATATTTACCTGCCTATCATGGATAACTCCGCACCGCCAGGCAGCTCAAAGCGTCAGCCTCCAGAGCCACTGTGGAGGCTGAAATGTGCAATTTGTGGAGGCTGAAGGTCGATACTGTGATGTTTGTCGACGGCCTCACAGGCCAGAAAATTGAGGAAAATGCGGACACCCTCATAAACCAGGGGTAAGATGACGTCGCCTCCGAGCAGATTACTGGGTCAACTTGCAAGGCAAATTTTTTTAGCCAGACCTCTAACAAAACCATTGTTGAACTTCGTCTCTTTCTTGGCAAATCTCGCATTGCTGTCCGCCATTGTTTCATTTCCTTACTGCAACTGCACATCTTGGACATCCCGATTTGGATCTCCGATGCCGCCGTCATTCATGCACTCACGAAACACGGTACGGTAGAAGGCACTATTTGCCACGGCCGTACCCGCACAAAGTCGGGTGCATTTGTCGGAACAGGCGTATGCTTCATAACTGTTTGCCTGAACAACGGATGTATGCAGGTGCCAACATTCGTGCAGACAACCGAAGGCAATACCTTCCACGTGAAGCACGAGGAACAGGCACCAACTTGCCGCTTATGCACTCAGAAAATCACCTCGCCAGCACTTGCCCTAACCTTTAAAAGAGTCAGTGAATAAGGCCCACCTAGGGACAGTAGGAGGCAACTTTTAGCGAAATCGGAAATTTGGCCATGTCGGGTGGTATTGGGCCGTTGCCGCCAAGTTATAATTGGCGCTTTAATATATTCGCACTTGATTTTTCGGTGCTCTGCCTATGTCATACGGCATGGAACCACCGATTCACCCTTCGAACATAACCAGTGACCATTGCATCCGACAACGTGGCAGCACAAACCATGACAGAAGTTGCGATTGGTTCGTTTGAGTCTTTTAAACTGGAGCTGCCACCAACGAATACCAGCAAATCGCTGACGAAGAAACTGCATGTCGAAATCTCCAAAAAATGAGACCAATCCGGTGGACACACTCTGAAGCTCACAGAGGACCGGGCAAAGTATCTACTCAAAATAAAGCACCAAGTCTTGAGTGAAACTCTCGTGCAAAGGACTTTCAGGAAACTAGCCTAAAAGACTGGTGCAAGGCATTAAGACTTAAGTCCAGTATGCACAGGTGCTACAAAAAGCGGATGCTATCACTGTGCTGCATTTACAAGCACCGGCGGCTCACTTGGGTGAGGATCAGCAAATACGACAAGTGCAAGAGGCGACTTGAAAAAGGACACCGCTGATGTGGCGTTGCCTTTTTGTCTCAAACAAAGGCATTATTTTTACAGGCACGCACAGCCTTTGAGAGAGATCCGAGATGGGGAGAAGTTGAACAAGAAACGTGCAGCAGCTGTGCAGATCGAACGTTTGAGCTGTTCCTCCAGGAACGACAGTGGCGAAGAAGATAATGTAACTTGCTTGAATCTTCGGCTGAGTTGCTTCCTGACATGTAAATGATCATGCACATTTGTGTTTTCTTCCTGAGACAAGTGGGAAGATAAGCCCCAATTGTGTCTGGGCGGATCAAGTAGGTAACTTGGATTGGTGTGCGAACATAGATGGTATGGTCCTTGGATATTGGCCATGATTAAAACATCGACAACTAAGTCGGCGAATAAGTTCCAATCAAGGATATACGGAGCAAACGGTTAAGCGAAATCCGAAATTTGGCAATGTCCGGTGATTTCGGTTATTACATACATTGACTACGACACCTGCAGAGAGCATCCTGTTTCATCCTTTGAGGACCCATCAGCATAGGACAGAGAAAATCAAAATGAATGTAATGAACAAGTTATATTTGGTCAACTTAACCCTTTACGGGCAGCTAATTTTTGTATATGATTTCCATCACATTTGAAACGATGTCAATATGTCGCGACAAAGGCACATTTTGTATTCACAAGTTGCCTGGTACATGTACTACTTCTTGACCTTAGAAAAATTATGTTCACGAGCCACACACCTACGCTGCTTAATCGGCACCTACACACGGAAAACATGGAAATTGTACACATGCAGATCCTCAAAGTTCCGACGTGGGGATGATGCTGCCAAATGGGCCAAGCGCTGTGCCGCTGTGCAAGTCGTTGGTGACTATTGCGAATATCAGTAGTTGTGCATTGTGAGACAAATATTGCATAGTAGGTATGCATTTCACCTTGTCTCGTATGGTGACTTATCACTCTCTTATTATTGACCCCCACAGAAACTTGTGATCTCTAAGCGGTCAAATATCAGCATATATTGACCGCTTATATTGACCACTTATTAGAGAGGTTTTGCATTCCGAATTTCGGAATGATTTTCGACTGTGCTTTTCCGAAAAAAGCGCGTTTCGAAAAACGGTATTTTCAGTGTTTTGCATTCCGAAAATCTGATTCGACTTCGTTTCCAAGGGTTGCCATGCAAAACAAAATGGAGAGCGTCGAAGGGGTTGAGCAGGATCAAATCCATGTGCGCAGGTCAAACTGAATTTGGGTGCGGTTCGAAGACGAGGACGAACTGATGGTGGACCAAGTGATCCAACAGCTGAAGACAAGGTTGGCGAACTACTGTCTTGTACTGTTAGTAGGCTCCAGGGCAAAGGAAGATAGAGTGTGATGAAGTGTGAGAAGATTAGTCAACATGGCAAGATCAGCGAGTGCAGCAAAACCAGCAAAAATCAAAACTACATACGTGGAAATTTTTCAAATAATCGAGAGCAGCAGAAAGCAAAATACAAACATGAAAAATACACTTTTTGTATTCAAATATGCACTCCCAAACATGAAAGAGCCGAAAATCTATTTTCGGAAAACCATGCACTTTCGCCACCACACTTCCGCAAGTTCGACTACTTTTTCGACTCCTGCCGCCACATTCCGAAAATAATTCCGAAATTCGGAATGCAAAACCTCTCTATTATTGACCACTTAGCCCGAGGACTTAGAACTTTTTCCTCAACTTAGAAAAAAAATCAGAACTGAAAGAAGAAAAGTCTGAAGTCAAATGTTGGGATTCGAACCCAAACTATCAAATTCTCAGTCAAAGAACTTGGGGAACATACTACAAGAGACAACTGAAACTTCTGTTTACAGAGAAGGTATGTCCAATGTAAACGGCATATGTACATACTATGCACTATTACAATAGTATTCACTTCTTCCTATAAACAAAGCTAAAAACAGTTTAGGTATGCTATGTCATGATAAATCTATTATTGCCCTCGTAATCGGTCAGTATATGAAATATATTGACCTCTTTAATCGTGCAATAATAGATACATAAATGGCTGTATCCCGCGAAATAATAGCGTGCACAAGCATCTTGCCAAATGTCGAACCCAGATCAGGTATTACCCCCCTAAGGGTGTCAAATGACTCTGAAATCTGCGGACGGCATGCTGTTTCGTCCTTTGTGGACCCATCGGCACAGCACAAAGAAACTCAAATAATATGTGCATGTCGACTTACTCCTCTTCTCAACGCAGGCTACATTAAATTCGTCCATAGGGTCCAAAGCAACCATTGAATCAAGTCCATTAGAGGCAAACCGGTTTCCCAAAAGTAGAATACTACTCCAGAAATATAGTTGTCCTTCGGTATTTTTTAACTGGGTGGAAAGCTTCTTCATGCAGAGTTCCTCCCTGAAAGTAGGTAAACTGGCGCCTCTATCAGTGCAAAATATCTTGGCACTATCGTAAACCAGTGTATCCTTCGTGTGCATAAAAAGCACTCTGTTGGCATCACAAACATGATGATATTCAGCTGCTACGAAACCAAAAAATGGAAGTGCACCCATAGGTCAGTTGCCATGGGGAAAAACTTATACAAAGGGAAACATATTTGCATACGAAGAGACGAAGGGAGTTGTAAATCTGATGAGTCCTCTTGTACAATCATTTCTCAAATCTGAACTCGGATGGTGAGCCAATATAGTTATGATGAAGAAAGGAAAAGGACTGTATAAGATCGGGTTACGTTGGTGGACAGTTTGTCATAACTCGTAACATTCTGTCCTTTTCCTTTCTTCATCATTTCTCAAATCGGTTAATTTTAAGGTTGAAAATGAGACGAAGCACAACAATGTCAATTTACACAGCATATCGGTGGTAGAATGGTGTTGAAATGTACACAGGCTAAATAATGGTGTGAGTTGCTCCAAAGAGCGCAACAATTATAACAAACATGGCAATGTAAAACCCTCTAGCACCTGCGCAAGTATCTTTTTAAAACAGCTTTAGAGTATTCTTACATACTGCAATGATGCAGGCAGGGGAAACCATCACTTCTGTGCTTCATATAAATTATCAAAATGTGACGTCAAAGTTTGAGCTGGCTCGAAAAGATTCTTTATGTCCAAGGAGTTTCTAGTGTCTTCAAGTGAGTTGGGTCAATTGATTTTAGTGCTAGGTGAGAGGTAGAGTTTAGTCTCAAAGTACCACACTAAGAATGACTCTTAAAATATGCAATTGTGTTTAGTTCCTTCTTGCTTTTAGCTCTTTGTAGGACTAATGGTTTCAACCCATCATCACTTAAATCAGTAATTCTTAGTGTGGTACTTTGAGACTAAACTTGACCCAACTCACTTGAAGACACTAGAAACTCCTTGGACAAGAAGAACATCCACTCGATCGAAAAAGAATCTTTTCGAGCCAGCTCAAACTTTGACGTCACATTTTGATGACTCTTAATAATATGGAACTGTGTATATAACCTTCTGGCTTTTAGCTCTTGTTGCCAAATTTATAGAACTAATGGTTTCAACCCATCATCATTTAAATCAGTAAATGTCTTTAACGAGCAAAAATCTCCGGACATGGCCAAAGTACCGATTACCGAGTTGGCTCCTTTTATACCTGAGTGGACTTTGTTTGCCCACTATGACAGTTTGGTCCAGAAACTCTAGTAATGTTGCTTGGATACTGGGATACGAAGCGTCACTTGCTCAACAACAGCCCACCATGACGAGAAAGAAGAACTTTTCCACAACAACAAATCACCAAGGACTGCAACAGTAGTACAAAATGGCCCAGATTGTGCCAGAACCATCTCTTGTGCTGGGCAGATAGTGCATGCGAGTTTCACATGCGTGCCACGCTCCCATCCAAAAATAATATTCAAAAATTTCTCTCAGGTTGCCATGAGCCCATGTATTTATGGTGCATGTGCAATTATAACATACTTAACATACTTGTATATATCATGCATCTTTTTAGGTACCTACTTGTAGGGCTGTGGCTGTCCCCCAAAGAGAACCTTTTTATTTTTCGATTCTTGATTTTCCAACTGCAATGCATATCTGATATCCTCAAGCGCCCGACTGCTACATCATGATTTTCCACTAGTGCGACGAGGCATCGATGCACATGTGAAACTCAAGTGCACTGGCTGCCTCGTACAAGAGAAATTTTGGGCCATCTTGCGCTACTGGTGCAGCCCTTGCTGTATATTTGTTTGCAGTTGAGCCTTTAGTACAACGGTCGCGCATTTTGCCACACACAAACTGCATGCCAATGTCTTGACTACATCCAGGAACAGTGTAAACAAGAGATCGCAACACCTTTTCATTCTTTGAATACAGCTTGATGTCATCCATGTACCATAGATGGTTGAGCTTGGTTCGGTTTTGATCCTTGAAACAGCAGGCTGTGTCAGCCTTCCTTAAGACCATGGTGATAGGTATGAGGCAGATGACGAACAGCAGTGAGGATAAGGAATCACCCTAGAAAATCCCACGCTGAATGGCCGCCGATCCCAAGCTGTTGGTGCCGTTCAAAAGGTTAAGCTTCCACTAAGTCATGCTAACAGTATAAGTCTGCGTACGGATTCGTGTATGCCAAACAGCTCCAAACAGCGCTCAATCCAATCATGTCATACGCCTTCTTGTAGTCGACTCACCCCATGGCAAAATTGGTTCTGCGACTCTAACGGTCCGCCGTAGTGGCCAGGTCAATGAAGAGTTGATTTATTAATTTTTTTGACAGGATAGGGAGAACGTCAAATTCAAAGGATCAGTCGGGGAAGTGAACTGCCTGAAAAGAGAAAAAATCGCCAGACCCAACAGGACTCGAACCTTGGACTATCTAAAGACTAAGTTCGAAAGATGAGTGACTATATTGATGACGTGGACCAGGTGTGAGACTTCAATCTACGCTCACTACAATCTTAATCAGAAACCGACAGGAATATCTTACCGCATCTGCCTTGCACTGTTACCGTGCCATTACTATGGCAAGTTGCCTGAGGGTTAGACGGACCACTAGATTCAAAGCCGGAGTTACAAACTGCGTGCAGGATATTCCGTTCGGTATTGAAGGGGTTCAGTTTTCTTCCACCCTTACCAACGTGTGATGACATAAAAATAAAAAGTGCTTTTGAAAATGACAGTTGCTGGACTACAGTGGTTAAGAAATTAGCTGCCGACTGATCGCCTGCAAATGTACAGTGCCTATAAAGTGGATAATCAAAAGTATTGTAGAATGGAGAGGATGACGACGACTGATGGAAATGAAATTAGCTGGAATACAGTGGTTAACAGGGTGGTTGCTGTCCTGCCGACGGATAGGCATGTATGAGCAAACAGATTTTAGCACTTTTTCAGCTCAAAAAGCTCAAAAAGGGCGATATTCACCAAAAAACGCAATAAAGGGCGAAAGAAACGGACTTTTCCAAAAAGGGCGAAAAAGGGCGGGCACCTTTGGGAAAGGGTTAGAGGATAGGCGCTCTGATCCCATTGTCGAGCGCTTGAGCGCAGGTGGAGCTTCAGCCGTTTCAAGGCAGTGTTGCTGCGCTCATTCTCCGCAGAGGTGACGGGTTGTGTTGAAGCTATCCGGAGGAAGACGTGGATGTTCGGGAAAACATCGGCATCGCAATGCACAAGAGCTTCTTGTGGGGTAGCTGGAAGTGCACCAGACTTCTCTGCTGCGTCCTTCCATTTCCTGACCCACTTTCGGATGTCAGTTGATTTAAAAAGAGTTGGCGGACAAGCCGTTGATTATTCACTCTCATTGTAATATCAAAAAGTATTCTTTCTAGACCAAAGAGTGGTATATTTGATAACATTTAATAACGATAGAAATTTTTACGATACTTCTCCAGACGTTTCGTTGTTCTGAACAACATCGTCAGTGGATAAAGAAAGATTCTTTATCCACTGACGATGTTGTTCAGAACAACGAAACGTCTGGAGAAGTATCGTAACAATTTCTATCGTTATTATATGTTATCAAATATACCACTCTTTGGTCTAGAAAGAATACTTTTTGATATCAGTTGATATAGTTGAAGAGCTTGGCACATCATCAGAATACGTGTCGACCAAGCGTTGAATGTTGGCAAGTAGGCCTTTCCCATATCGGCCGGCCGAAAAATTCGCCGAAAAGTAGCCTTTTCAAAATATCGCCGATCTTTTCGCCGACTTCTGAGATTTTACCAAGAAATCGCCGAATATACTTGTAATCTACGTGGAGATAATAATTTTAATATACATGTACATGTAGCTATCGATTCTGGGTTTTCGATCATATTTTGTTATAAAATACACAGTAATACATGTCAAACAAGAATACAACAATACAACAATATACTTGTAATCTACGTGGAGATAATAATTTTAATATACATGTACATGTAGCTATCGATTCTGGGTTTTCGATCATATTTTGTTATAAAATACACAGTAATACATGTCAAACAAGTCACGTAGTTGCGTGATGTCTGCGGCCTTCATCCTATTCATAGCTATATTGAATATACATGTACATGTAATAACGAGAGAGCTTGGAAGCTCAGGGCCCTACGCTATGCTTTTTTGCCTTGATGACCTAGACAAAAAAAAGCATAGAGATGTTATAAATTCTTATAAATTTCTCCTTTTTTTGTAAAGACTTAACCTGGGATTCGAACCCGCACTATCGTCCTGCGTGCATCCCCCGATACACTTCGCATACATACTAATTCTTCCAAACTGCTTCACGTTATGATCTTGCATTTGAAAGCCCTATTTGAATATGCATTGTGGCCAGCCGTCTTTGATGGTACGGTACGGGACAGGTACGGGACAGGTACGGTCGAGGATAATACGACACCGTCTACCGCCTTGATGACCTCGGCAAAAAAAGCATAAGGATGTTATAAATTTTTTAATTCTCCTATTTTTTTAGGCATAACCTGGGATCCGAACCCGCACTATCGCCCTACATGCATTCCCCCATACACTTTGCATTCATACTCATTCTTCCAAGTTACTTCACGTTATGATCTTGCGTTTGAGAGCCCTAGTTGAATATTGCGGCCAGCTGTATGTGGCCAGCTGTGTTTGATGCGTTTGAAAGCCCTACTATTGCGGCCAGCTGTATGTGGCCAGCTGTGTTTGATGGTACGGTATGGTACGGGACAGGAACGGGACAGGCGCCAGACGTTACTGAAGTAACGTCTTCTGCATAGCTACGGGAATAATAATATCTTTATTAGGATGACCCAGAGGCGTGTCGCCTATCAATACCTTATTCCTTGGACTTTTGCTGACTTGGCTCCTAGACTACAAGGGGTTCACCGCTTTGAAGGGTGTACATGTACATGTACATGTATGAGCTAAAGTGAAAGTAGTACATGTATATGTTTTGCAGGGTCGTGGGCAACTGGCCATGACTGCTCGTGCGCGCCTGCGTCACGGCCCGTGGGCATTTCCCAAATCGGCCGGTCGAAACATTGGCCGAAAAAAGTGGTTTTGAAGAAATCATCGATCTTTTAGCCGAATA